ACACATATATATATATATATATAGCCCTGTGCACCCACCAAGAACCCCCCTTTCTCATGATTATTTATGCTTTTGTATTTGATTCCTACGATTTTCGGACTCACTTTTGAGGCTCTTTTTTGGAAGACTTTTTGGGCTCCCTTCTATACTCAACTCCCTCCGTGCTGCACCAAGAACCCCCCTTTCTGATGATTATATATGAATTTATATATGATTCCTACGATTTTCGGAATCACTTTTGAGGCTCTTTTTTGGAAGACTTGTTGAGCTCCCTTCTACTCAACTCCCCCCGTCTCCAACACAACACCCAGTACTCAGCAGACTCCTTCTCCAACACCACATCCGATACTCAACAGACTCCCTCCCCAAGCTGAACTTGAAAAGAACCTTCTACTCAACTCCCTCCGTCTCCAACACAACACCCAGTACTCAACAGCCTCCTTCTCCAACACCACATCCGATACTCAACAGACTCCCTCCCCAAGCTGAACTTGAAAAGAACCTCCTACTCAACTCCCTCCGTCTCCAACACAACACCCAGTACTCAACAGCCTCCTTCTCCAACACAACACCCGATACTCAACAGGCTCCCTCCCCAAGCTGAACTTGAAAATAACCTTCTACTCAACTCCCTCCGTCTCCAACACAACACCCAGTACTCAACAGCCTCCTTCTCCAACGCAACACCCGATACTCAACAGGCTCCCTCCGTCTCCAACACACACACACATGCACTCCAGATCCTACCACCACAACACGACGCGACACCCGAAACTCCGACCGCACCCGCCCTTTTTTTTCTTGGCATCTTCCAAGAGAAAAGGGGGGTTCATGGTGGGTGCTGCGGCCTATATATATATATATATACATGTATCCATGTCTCTCTCTCTCTCTCTCTTTCCCTTTCTCTCTTTGGGATGGGGGGGAGTTGACGGGCGGAGCCGAGCCTGCTTCCTCGTCCGTCCTCAATCCCCCTAGTCCCTCATCCCCTTTCGTTCCGAGCCAGGTTCTACTTGTGTTTCTGATCTTGCTGCTGCTTCTGATGCCTGCTGCTCATTATGCTGCTCTTACTTCCTCCCAGTCAACATCACCATCACCATACTATCCGTCCTTCTCGTTCTCTCCTCTCACAGTCGCCATCACGCTCCCGCACCCACCCACCCATCGCCACCTCTTACAGTACATCCCATCGTTTCTTCTATTGGTTTGCCGTTGTCCTTTCTCTCGCAACTGTTCCTGCTTATTGTTTTTGTTGCTGCTTCGCCTTCGCTTAGGCCCTCCCTCGCCTATCCTCTCTTTCTTGTTCTCGGTCTCTCTTTCGTTCTCTCTCTCTCTCTCTCTCTCCCTCCCTTTCCCTCGCTCTCCAATGTTGCCCTCTCGTCGTGCTCTCTTTGCTTGTTCGATTGTATGTGTTCTATTTCTCTCTCTATATATACACATTATCTTATCTCTACACATCTATATATATATATATATATATAATCATTGTCCTCCTCCCTGCTCCCGATTCCTTATCCATCTCGTCCTTCCGTCACCCGCCCTATCCTCAATTCCATCGTCATCATTTTCCTTGCCCCCATCAGGCTCATTTTCTTAATAGTTCTCCGCATCTTGATTGTCATCCTCATTGTGCTCATGCTTCCTGCTGCTGCTGCCGCAGTGCCTCCATTTGGTTCCATCATCCGCCCCACCTCCATCTCTTGTGTTCTCTCTCTCCCTCTCTCTCTCTCTCTCTCTCTCTCTCTCTCTCCCCCACCCCCCCTTCTCGTTCTGCCTGCCCTCTTTTTCTTCTCCTGATTGTATTCTCGTCATCCTGCCCGCTCGCCGCCTCGTCCTCCCGCACCCTGCTTTTCTCCTTTCGCCTCCTCCCCGTCCTCCTGATCATTGTCCTGCTCCTTCTCCTCCTGCTGCTGTGTCCGACTTCCTCCGGCTTCCGCTCCCCCTCTCGCCACCGCGCGTTTGTCTCACTTTCTGAGGCTGAGGATGCATGGGGTCAGGGCTCCACGAGAGGCGGGTGAGGTTTGTGCCTGGCTTGCGTGCGCGTGCAAGTGCCCCTGTGCGTGCTCATGTGTGCCCGAGCACGCCTGTCCCGCGTGCCCAATTCGCCCCCTTCGCTCCCCCTTGTTCGCTGACCGCTTGCTGGAGCGAGCTGCCGCCGGTTGAGAAGGGTGAAGAGGACACACAGACCGAGCTGCGAAGGTGTTGGAGGAGGGGGCGGTGGTGGAGGGGTGCTCTGCCCAGGTGACGCGCTGTCTCCCAGGAAGGCCAGCGTGGGTTTGTGCTGCTCCTCTGGGGCCGCGGTCGACTACACGTAAGAGTGACCCTTCGCAGGAGTGACCTTTGATGCGGGCTCACCGGGGTCCCCCTGACCGCTGAGCGCGATGCGACAGTGGCTGCTTGCGCGCTCGGATTCGGCAACCTTTCGCCACCTTAAAGGCCAAAGGCCACTCTTGGCCAGGGTCACTCTCGCTCTTGCGTGTTGCCGACGCGGCATGTTTGACGTTCTCTGCTGCAGCCAGCCCACCTCCGATCAGAGAAAAGGCGCGCGAGTATGCAGGCGGGCCGTGTGCGCGCGCGCAGCCCGCCGCCCTCCTCTCTCTCCCTCTGGGGCCGGCCGCGGCGCTCCGCCTGCCTTGCCCTGCCACTGAGCCCGTAAGGGCCTGGCGATCTCGCTTTCTTACCTGGCAGGCGCGAGAGCGCCCGCGGGACTTTTCCTCACGCGCTGCGGCTTGGCCCGGGCTGCGACACTCAAAAGTGTGTGTGTGTGTGTGTGTGTTTGTCTGTGTGTGTGTGTGTTTGTCTGTGTGTGTTTGTGTGTTTGTGTGTTTGTGTGTGTGTATTTGTGTGCGTGTGTGTCTGTGTGTGTTTGCGTGTGTGTGTGTGTGTTTGCGTGTGTGTGTGTGTGTGCGTGTGCGTGCGTGCGTGCGTGCGTGCGTGCGTGCGTGCGTGCGTGCGTGCGTGCGTGCGTGTGTGTGTGTGCTTGTCTGTGTGTGCGCGCGCGTTGGTGCTCGTCGCGGCTGCAGCTGTTTCGGCTCGGGGGAGCCAACGGGGGGTGCGCACGCAGCCTCCCGGTGGGGCAGGCGGGCGGCGGGCTGCTGCCGACGCGATGCCCCTCGCCAGATGAATGGCGCAGGAGGTGATGTACCGGGTGACGTCGCAGGCCACAGTTTGCATGCACGCTCTGTTTCTTGTCCGCTTCCTCCTCCTCCACCATTTGCATGAACGCTCTGTTTCTTGTCCTCATCCTCCTCCTCCTCCTCCTCCGCCTCGTCCTCCACAATTTGCATGAAAGCTTTGTTTCTTGTCCGCTTCCTCCTCCTCCTCCACAATTTGCATGAACGCTTTGTTTCTTGTCCGCTTCCTCCTCCTCCTCCTCCTCCACCTCCTCCTCCTCCTCGTTGTCCTCCTCTTCCTCCTCCTCCTCCTCCTCCTCCTCCTCGAGGCTACCGGGGTCGGGGGGGTAATTATGTTAGGCCTCTCGGGGCGCCCCCGTGGCCACGGCGGGAGTCGCTGCGAGCTCCTGGCCAGAGCGCGCCCCAGGAGAGGTTCGGGGGGGCGACGTTCTAGAAGAGTGAAGGAGGCAGGGCAGGGAGGAGGAAGACAGCGAGGAGGGAGGCAGCACGAGGAGGAAACGTGGGGGGTCAATGGCAGGGCAGGGCAGGGCAGGGAGGAGGAGGAGGAGGAGGACCACGAGGAGGGAGGCAGCTCGAGGAGGAAGCGTGAGGGATCAATGGCAGGGCAGGGCAGGGCAGGGAGGAGGGGGACAACGAGGAGGGAGGCAGCACGAGGAGGAAACGTGAGGGGTCAATGGCACGTTCCAGAGGGTCCTCGCGTCTGAGGGATCGAGAAGTTGGGCACCCGCTCTTCGGCGGAAGTCCGGCAGAGCGCGGCGGAAGTACACCGGCGGTGGGCTCGCTGGCGGGAGTTGGCGGAAGGCCAGCGAAAATAGTATAAGATGGTTTCCAAGTGATGCGCACGTCTTTGGATTGAGGGTTCGTAGGGCGAGCCTACTAGGAACACCGTGAGGACGGAGAAGGCGGAGGAGATGGACATGTTCGTCCTGATCTTTCCTCTCCCTCGCCCGCTCTGCCTCCTGTCTCCCCAGTCCTCCACACCACCTGAGCCACCCGCTCTTCCTCACTCACATATCCTTCTCTCTCCCCCTCCATCGCCTCCGTGCTCCTCCTCTTCTCTCCTCCGCGTCCTGCCCCTCCTCCCCCTCTTCTCCTCCTCCTCCCCCTCCTCATCCTCCCCTCGTCTCCGCCTCCTCCTCCTCCTCCTCCTCCTCCTCCTCCCTCCTCCTCCTCCTCCTCCTCCTCCTCCTCCTCCTCCTCCTCCTCCTCCTCCTCCTCCTCCTCCTCCTCCTCCTCCTCCTCCTTCCTCTCTCGTCCTCAACAACAGGTCCTCCTTTCTACCTCCGTCCTTCCCTACAATCTGGAGGAGGGAGAGCTTGGTGATCCCCTCGAGCAGAGAGAGAGAGAGAGAGAGATGGAGAGAAAGAGAGCGACCGGTGAGCGTGGGGGCTATGCCTGACTGCCCCGACAGCATAGGCTTGAGCCCTTTGAAGCCGAGCCTCGCCGACCCTCTGATCCCACCCGTTCGTATTCGCTATGCCCACTCCCCGTTCTCCGTCTCCTCGATCATCCAGCCTTCTGCTACATCCTTGCTCGGGTGGCCTCCTCCCCGCCCGCCCGTCCCGTCCACCTCATCCTGCTCCTCCTGCCCCTCTTCCTCCACCCTCTTGTACTACCTATTCCTCCTCCCAGTCCTGCTCACTCCCGCTCCTCCTCCATCATCACCCTCCTCTTCCTCCTTCGCCTCCTCCACCTCCTCCCCCTCCTCCCTCGCCCCTCCCCCTGTTTCTTCCGAGCTGCCAGGCCACCGGGCCTAAGGCCTCGACGGTGGCCATCTTGCTGGGCACCTACGCGGAGCAAGGCGAGAACCATGGGAGGCCGACGTACCAGAAGACGGAGCCGATCCCCGGGCACCCCGACCTGAAGGCCGCCTCTCTTCACCCCCTCCTCTTCCTCTTCCTCCTCCTCAGTCTCCTCCTTGTTCGGCTTCTTAGTCCTCTTCTGATTATGGGTTGTGATTTCATTATTGTTATTGTTTGTTTTACTATTGTTCTGTTATTATTATCACTAGTCGTATTCTGTTTATTGCTCCGATTCGTATTCGTATTATTGTGTTCTTAGTTGTCGTATTAGCTAGTTTGTTTCTCGTTGTCTTCTTATTCGATCTCTTCCTCTTCCCTCGCTACCTCCCCCACTCCCTTCCTTCCATCCCCCTGGTCATATTTTGTATATCGTTCGCCTATTCCCTTCTCCTCGTACTGCTGCTGCTGCTGCTGCTGCTGCTGCTGCTGCGTCTCCTCCTCCATGTTCTATGGTAGATAATGTTTCACTTGTTTTGCTAGTCTGATTATTCGTCTTAGTGTTGATATGGCTCTTCTGGTACAACTTATCAGTATTACCCCCACGGTTAACAGTATTATTGCGAAGACCTTACGGCCGGTGCCGCCGACCCTGAGAACGACGAAGATGAAACTGAGGGGGGGCAGGGGGAGGAGGATGAGTGGGAGGTGGAGGAAGGGTGGAGAAGGTGGAAGAGGGAGGAGGAGGGGGGAGAAGGATGTGGAGGAGAAGCAAGAGGAGGAGAAGGAGGCAGAGGATAGCAGGAGGAGGGGGAGCAGAGGGGGGGAAGAGGAGGAGGAGGAGGAGGAGGAGGAGGAGGAGGAGGAGGAGGAAGAGGAGGAAACCAGAGGCTTTCTTGGGACAGCCTGGGGCTCTCTTGAGGCCGTCTTGGGCCGTCCAGGGCTCCTCTTGCGCCGTCTCGAGGCACTCTTGGAGGCCTCCTGGGCAATTTAGGGCTCTCCTGGGCTGTCTTGGGAGAGTTTTGGGGCCCCTTGGGAGCCTCTTGGGGCCTCTTGGGGCTTCTTCGGGGCCTCTTGGGGGCCTCTTGGGGCTGAGAGCTCGAAATGTCCGTTCGGGTCCCCCGTCTGGGCACCCTCCTGGAGCCGTCTTGGGGGCCTCTTGGGCCATCTTGGAGGCGTCTTGGGCCGTCTTGGGGCCCTCTTCGGCCGTTAGGGGACCCTCTTGGGCCGTCTCGGGGCGATCTTAGGGCCTCTTGGGCCGTCTTGGCGCGTCGGGAAGCGGAAGAGAGAAGAACGCCCCAAATGTTCAAAAACGTATAGGAAATCCCTGAAGTTTGCCTCTTGGGGCTCTCGTGGGAAAGCTCCTGGAGGCCTCTTGGGGCGCTTGCAGGCCCCTTGGGCCGTCTGGAGGCCGTCAAGGCGTCTTGGACCGATCGTTCGGCGATTCGGGGTTCTCTTGGACTGTCTTTGGGGCCTCTTGGGGCACTCTTGGTCCGTCTTGGGGTTTTTGGGGGCTCTGGGACTCCCAGGGGGGGCGTCGTATCTGACCCCCCCCCGGGACCCCCACCCACCCCCGGCGGGGAAGGGATCGAAGGGAAGGGGCTTCCCTTCGACTCAATTACGACGTTGCTCAACTTTGCTTTGGCTGGCGCGCTGAGGAGGTCCCTGGGAAAGGGGGGAGCTTCGACGAGCCCAGGGAAAGGGGGAAGGCAGGGAAAGGCTACGACAGCGACGACGACCAACGAATGACGGAGATGACGACTTGGACGGACAAGCCCCTCACACACGCCGACAGAGTCGGCGGATTATTATTGCCAGCCTTAGCTTCACTATTCCCATCATTATGACTAGTGTGGTTGTTGCTGTTGCAGGGTTCTTCTGATACGTAGTATAGTTGTAGTCGTTGCATTTTAATTTGCATGATGTTCAATACTATGCGTATCCTCCGCCTCCTGCTCCTCCTCCTCCTCCTCCTCCTCCTCCTCCTCCTCCTCCTCCTCCTCCTCCTCCTCCTCCTCCTCCTCCTCTCTGCCCCTTCTCGTCCCCTCTCTTCCTCCTCCTCCTCCTCCTCCTCCTCCTCCTCCTCCTCCTCCTCCTCCTTCGCCTCCTCATCCTTCAATTTGTTATTATCGTTCTGCCTTTCCTCCTGCTGCTGCTGCTCCTCCTCGTCCTCCTCCTCCTCATCCTCCTCCTCGTGTCGGAGCTTTCTTCTCGGGCGCTTCTGGAGGTTCTCATCGCCACGGCTGGGCGTGGCCCGGACAGGTGGCCAGGTTGGGCCACAGGAGAGGTCCCAGGACTGAGTAAGGATCCGTAGCCAAACCTCTCCCAGCTCGAGCCGGGTCCCACTGTGGCGACGAAAACGAGCAGGGAGAGGAGGAGCAGCAGCAACAGCAGGAGGAGAGACAGGTGGAGAAAAAGGAGCACGTGGAGGAGGAGGAGAAGGAGGAGGTGGAGGAGGAGGAGATTTCTCTCCTCATCATCCTCACCTCTCCTCTTCTTCTTATGGGGAAGGGCGGGAGGATGGCGACGGCGATGGCGACGTTTGACGGGACGGGAGACTGCCAGCGAGATCCACTGCCTGCTGCACGACCGAGAGGGGCAGTGGACCCCAGGCGGGAGTACTCTGCGAGAGGCACGTAGCACGCATGCTAGCCCTCTTCCACTGCCGGGGAGGGCGACGCCAGGAGGCCAACAGGAGGACGAACATTGGGGGGGGGGGGGGGGCGACGATGACAGGGAAGGAGGATGAGGAGGAGGAGGAGGAGGAGGAGGAAGGGAGGAGGAGTAGGAGAGAGGAGGATAGAAGGAGAGGAGGAGGAGGAGGCTGAGGAAGGGGGAGGATGATGAGTAGAGGAGGAGTAGGAGGATGTAGGAGGATGGAGGAGGAGGAGGAGGAGGAGAAGGTAAGGGCGCTTGGGGATCAGTAGCCCTACAGCCGGGTCGAAACGTGTGACCCCTGTGTGTGCAGTGCGGGCGCAGGGCCCTCACTCCTCGTGAGGGCCCTGCCTGCCTGGGGCAGCGGGCGTGACGCGCTGCCGAGGCGCCGGCGGAGGGGCACTCCCGCGCGCGAGCGCGTGCCACGTGAAGCAGAGACGGAGGCGAGGCCGCGGGCCCACTCGGCGTGCCACCCCCTCTCCCGAGGCCCTCGCCAGAGCGGGAGCTCGGCCCAGAAATCGAGCTCCTCAGCCCAGAAATCGAGCCCCGACAGGAGCTGGGGCGGCCCACCTCAGTCCTGGGGCTGGGATGGGCCGCACCCGAGAAGCCTTCTCTTCCTGGCAGCCGACTGCCCGAGCACTCTCCTCTTGCCGAAGGCAGGCACTCGTGTCGTCACGGCGGTCTCCCGCCGCCTCCCCTCCCTCCCGGCAAGCGTCACCGTCCTCGGTCGTTCCGCCCTCGGAGCGTCCGCCCCTCGGAGCCGGGGGCAGCCCCTGGCACGCACCGTCGGGGGCGACCTGGCATCTGCCGCTGCTGGGCTCAGCTGCTGGTCTCTTGCTCCGCTGGCCGGTGTGCGTCGGGGTCGGGGTCGGTGCGGGGCCGCAGGCGGGGTTGGGGTGGGGGGTGCGGGGGCGGGTGGAGGGGGGGGGGGGGGGGGGGAAGGGAAGGGGGGGGGGGGGGGGGGTTGGTGGGGGGGGGGGGGGGGGGGGGGTGCGGGGCGGGCGTTGCACTTCAGCCGCACAGAGGGGGCGGGCAGCGGGGCAGCGGGCGGGCCGCGGCGGGCGGCAGAGGCGAGCGGGCCTCGTGCTGCCTCCCCGCGGAGCGCGGCGGGCCGCCCTCGGGCGGCGGCGGGCTCTGCTTCTCGGCTCCCTCCCCCCTGGTAAGCGGCCACCCTGTCGTCCCCGCGCCACCCAGGCTCATTGAGGCCCAGCGCCGATGCCATGTTGGTCTCCCGGGTCGTCTCGATCTGAGGTTTGACCTTCTGCGTTCTCTCCTGGTGCTCGAGCTCTTTGTCGTCTTGCACCGCGTGTGCGTTTCGCCTCTGTGCCTCAAGGATTCCCAATGTTTTGTCTTGCACCTGTATCCAGATGTACCTGACGTGCTGTCTGGCGTCGAAGAACTCGGGACTGCCTGGTTCAGAAGCTCTCTGATTGTGGCAACGTCAGCTTCCTCATGCCGTGGGCGATTCTGCGTCTCTCACTCGGCCAGTCAGCGCTCTGATCTTGCCAAAGCTCGCGAGCACGGGGCCTATCTGGAAGTCCCGATATCCATGCAGCTTGTCATGCCGGGCGAGCCTACTCTGGACAAGGTCTACTCTTGAGCCTGTGTGGCAGTGCAGATCCCTGTCGGGTTGGGGTTGGAGGGAGGCTTGGGGCTCTGTCTGGGAGTTCCCGCTGGAGGGCAAGAGTCCTGAGGCAGGGGGGCACTCTGAAGGTCATTTACGTTGGCATCCCATCTGCAGCCGCAGTAGGAGTCCTCGTGACGTCGGCAAGCCTCAACTTGTTGTGATGTCTCCCCACATCCTAAATGGGGTTCTTGTTTTCTCTGGACACCCTCCGCGCAGGATCTTCTCCTCACCCCCCTCCCTCTCACTTCCCCTCTCATCATCATCATCATCATCATCATCATCATCATCATCATCATCATCATCATCATCATCATCACCATCATCATCATCATCATCATCATCATCATCATCAGTAGCATCAGCAGCATCATCACCATCATCACCATCACCATCACTATCATCATCATCATCATTAGCATCATCATCAGCATCAGCATCAGCATCATCATCATCATCAGCATCAGCATCAGTATAAGCATCAGCATCAGCATCAGTATCAGCATCGTCATCATCATCATCACCACCACCATCATCATCATCGCACTCATCACCACTCATCATCATCATCATCACTCATTCACCCACCCACCCACCCACCCACCCACCCACTCTCTCACTCACTCACTTACTCACTCACTCATCACCGTCACACGCTTATGTCACCCGAGGAAGTCTCAGGCGGAAGCCCCCTCCCTATGGGTCCCGCACTTCATGTTGGTAATCCGAGCGGGTCGTCGGCAACCTGTAACTGTCGTCACTTTTGGGCTCCTCAGACTTGAATTTGGAGGAAGTATCAAGGGGGAGCCTCGTCGGTGAGTGGAGTGTGAGGAAGTCTCAGGCGGGAG